GTCTGTGGATTGGAATGTTCCACACTTCCTTCTCCCTTCTCAGCCCAGCAGGCTAAATAGGACATGTTCTCAGGCAATGGCAGAGTTGCAAAAGAAACAATGAAAATGTGTCATATTTCCGACTTAGTTTTCTGTCTCTCTAATCCATATTCGACTGAACAATAAATCACATAGACAAGGCCCAAATAAAAAGGTGATAAAATATGTTCTGTCCATGATGAGGCCATGACAAGAAATGGGAATTAGAGATTGTGAGGAAGACCTGGGATCAATAATTCCATCCATCACAACCACAAACCCATTTGTCAGGGTTTTTCCATGGAAAAATAAGTCTTCTATAATGAAAAAGAAGACACCATGCCCCATTATTTCCCCTTGGAATCTATGCAAATGTGTGTATAGGCCAAAACAAACCTCATTCACATCAGCATCCACAATAGTTATTATTTTCCTCTTGTTAGTGAAGAAGAGATAATAGAAACTTCCTCAAAAATATACATGGGCTAGAGCAATAGTACAAAGGGTAGGGATCTTGCCTTGCACACAGTTGGCTTGGGTTTGATCCCTGGCATCATATATGATTCCCCAGAGCCCCCAGAAGTAAGTCCTGAGCACAGCTGGATGTGGCCCAAAACCCAAAACATAAACAGGAAGGAAGGAAGGAAGGAAGGAAGGAAGGAAGGAAGGAAGGAAGGAAGGAAGGAAGGAAACACATACAGAGGATCACTATAAATATATGAAAAATTGTTCTGCCTCCCTTAGCATCAGGGAAATACAAATAAAAACAATAAGATATCACCTCACACCAGGAGACTGGAATACATCGAAAACAAAAACAATAATGTAGTTGTGGATGTAAGGAAAAAGGGACCCTCATCCACTGCTGGTAGAAACATTGACTTACCCAATTTTTTAGTAAAACAATATGGATACTTCTCAAAAAAAAAATCCTAGGAATTGAGCTGGGCTGAAGCGATAGCACAGCGGGAAGGGCATTTGCCTTGCAAGCAGCCAACCTGGGTTCAATTCCTCCATCCCTCTCAGAGAGCTCGGCAAGCTACTGAGAGTATCCTGCCTACATGGCAGAGCCTGGCAAGCTCCCCGTGGCAAATTCGATATGCCAAAAATAGTAACAACAAGTCTCACAACGGAGACGTTACTGGTGCCTGCTCAAGCAAATCGATGAACAACAGGAGAACAGTGCTACAGTGCTACAGGAATTAAGCTAATATATGATCCAGAAATTTCACCTCTGGATATCAGCCCCATAGACCCAAAAACTCCAGCCAGGAAAGACATTTGCTCTCCCGTATTCACTGCAGCACTATTCACAGTAAGCAAATTCTGGGAACAATCCAAGAATCTAAGAAGAGATTACTGGATAAAGAAACCATGGAATATATACACAATAAAATACAACTCAGCTATAAGAAAAGATGAAACCAAGCAATTTTCTATTTGGATAGATCTGGAAAGTATCATAGTGCATGAAGTCAGCCAGAAGGAGAGGGACAGATACAGTTTTCTCTCTCACGTGTGGGATATAAAGAAGCAGAGTAAGGGAACAACAAATGACCAAAGACAACAGAACTGACTTCACCATGATGGGATGATGGGGCTGAGCATGGAGACTTTGAGGTGATGGACACTCTGGTGGAAGGATGGGGTGCTGAACATTGCATACTTGAAAGTCTACCTTTAACAGTAATTGTAAATCATGATGCCTAAAGTTTCTTAAATTAAAAACAACAACATTTGGCCCTGCACACTCCAACTCACAAACCACACATAGTCCCCTGAGCACCACCAGAAGGATCCTGAGCATAGAGCCAAGTGTAACTCAAACCTTCTCCCGCCCATTCTCCCAACAAAACCCTTGATAATCCCCAGCAACCATTCTTCCCTAGATGAAAGTTTGCCTGGGCAGGACTAGAGCAGGGTAGCAGCAGCTCCCACATAGCTCTCAGTAACACAAAGTGGCTCCCAAACCTCAGTCCCGTTTCCAACTAAGAAAAATGTTTATAGATGTTCTGGTGTTGAGGCTCTTTCTTTGGGGAATTGTGGAGAAAATAGATGAGAAAGGATTTTGTAAGGGTCTCAGGAGGCATGGGCCCCCCCAGTCATTCTCAGCCAATTGGGGTCCCTCTATTAAATGCAAGCACTAGAGGATGCTGGGATGCTGCGCTGCTCTTGCCCTGAGAGCCGCGGATTAACTGGGTGAACCCAACAGTGCAGGGGATGGCACCCTCTAGGATCACACCTAGCGCTGCTCAGGAGACCATATGGTGCCTGGGAGAGAACCAGGGTCTGCAGAATGCAAGGCATGAGACTTCCCCTATATATCTCGTCAGCCCAGGGAGGAGGGTTTAACCAAAATCTGGCTCCTCTAGAGCTCCATGAAAGCAGGCACTTTCTCTTTGTGTGTGTGTCTCTGTCTCTCTCTGTGTCTCTGTCTCTCTCTGTCTCCGTCTCTCGCTGTCTCTGTATCTGTCTCTCTCTGTCTTTCCATCTTTCTCTCTCCCCCTCCTTCCCCCCTTCTCCTTTTGGGTGTTATGGTTTACAATTCTGACACTGAGAGGTTATCATGTTTGTTCCTTTCCTACTTTCATCACGTTATTCTTTTTTTTTCCCCCGGGTTACTTTTTATTGAGCATTGATATTAGTATTTTTTTTAAATTTTTATTAGTGAGACACCATGAGGTACAGTTGCAGACTTACAAATTTTTGTGCTTGGGTTTCAATTATACAATGATCAAATACCCATCCCTCCACCAGTGCCCATTTCCCACCACCACAGATCCCAATATGCCTCCCCCCCACCCCCCCATCCCACCCTGCCTCTGCGGCGGGCATTCCCTTTTGTTCTCTCTCTCCTATTGGGTGTTGTGGTTTGCAAAGGAGGCATTGAGTGGCAATCATGTTTGGTATATAGTCTACTTTCAGCATGCTTCTTCCATCCTGGGAGGATCCTCCCAACACCCTTTATTTGGTGCTCCCTTCTCTATCTGAGCTCCCATCATTTCCGGCTATCACCGCTATAGTGGTTCCTTCTCTATCCCAACTGCTTCTTCCCCAGCATCTAAAGCAGGCTTCCAACTGTGGACCAATCCTCCTGGCACGTGTTTCTATTGTCCTTGGGTATTAGTCTCATACTGTGTTTTTTTTATGTCCCACAAATTAATGCAATCTCCTTCTGAGACATTAATACCAAATATTACTAGGAGCTGCTCATCCTAGAATGTGAGCCCAGGAGTACCTGACCAATGAGGAAACAGGTCTAGACTTGCATTAAGGATAAAAACCCCTGACTCTACATGCTGTTCGCATGTTCCTACTCGCCAGCCACCTGACCTCACAAGGCTGTAATCAATAGCTAGTGAAGCCTCTCTTTCTGTTCTTCTAGTCTCTGAGTTGATATGTTTTAGGCAGGTGAAATATTTCTCACATATCTACATCAAACTCAAAACCTGGTCAGGTATAGAAAGCTTAAGCAGTAAATAAACTTTAAGAATTCAATTTGGAAAATTTAATTTGGAGAAATTTCATGGTCTATGCTCATCCTCTTGGGTTCTTTCCTGCAAGGGCTTTTAGAACCTGTACTCATTTAGAGGAAACATCTTTTCACATTAAACACTAATAACAATGTAATGCCATGTTCTAAAAATGTGTGATCTACACTTGCTTTTTTAAAAAATTCTAAATCTGTTGAATTTTGGAAAATATTAATGAACTTTCAAGTTTTTCCGATTTTCTAATTTGATGTGTAATGCATGACATCTCACTCCGACTACACCCAAATTATAGAAGGAAATTTTTAAATATGCTGTAATCCCTTTATCACAGGAACTACATGTTGAGCATTCACCAGATGCCACGCCTGGCTTAGATGCTTTTGCAAAAGTCCGTTCAACAAAACCTTGCAACATTCCAGCAGGACAATTAAAAAATCCTTATTTTATGGAAGAAGCTGCTAAGGATTAGAGATATTATTGAATCTGAACATAAATCAATAATGACAATAATGACAGAATCAGAATCTATCTTTCTTCAAAACCTTAAGTTTCCTTTGGGCAAGAACTAATAGTGATTTGGTTCCACTTTGTAATTCATCTAATAAGATGCTAAGTAACAGTTGAGACCTGAAGATTAGATCAAGGGGAAAGCACACACTCAAGGTCATTATCAGGCAGTTTTGCTGCTTTGAGTGAAAATAGCTTTTGGGATGTCAAAGAGTTTAATTTGTTCCTGAAAAGAAACTAATACCTTTCCTCTCTCCCTTTCAGTAAACAAGAAACATTTGTTGAAATCGAAGGGCAGGATTTTTGTTCCACCTCTCCTTAGCTGAAAACACCTACAAATGTTCTTAAGAAAGGTTCCTGATAAAAAGGCAGTCTCTTTAGATGGGTTGGGTTGAACTGGAGGATCCAAGGAGACAGTTCAAACGGTTGGAGTGCATGTTTGGCATGCATGCTCCATTCCATCTCAGCACTGCATGGTCCCCTAAGTCTCTCAGGGAGCACCCCAAGCACTAAACCTGGAGAAAAGCTGTCACACATCCCAGCACTTTAGGGTATAGCCCCCCAAACAAAAAAATTTAAAAGAAGAGTTAATATGGGGTGTAGATGTTTTTTGAAACAAGGAGTACCCAGGTGCGATCCCATGAGGTGTTTCCGAATACTGCTACAGCCTGGTTATGTCAAAGACACTAGTACTGGGGTGGGAGAGGGAATCGTGGGGCGGGGGCGGGGAGTTGAGGGAAGAGTGCTGGCTAAGAAGGCTTGAAAGGCCTTGAACTAGCTGCCGTCTTTACCAAGAGCCCCCAGGCTGGCCACGTTTGCCTAGTTAATAATATCCAGTGTGGCACTGCGGCAGGGGCGGTAGGACAATCAAACTCCGCCAGAACCGAGGTGTTTGGAACATTTTCTTTGCCAAGATTCCCATCCCCCATCCCCGGGAGGGTGGGGGCAGAGCGCGGGGCAGGTGCTGGTGCAGGGTTAGCCTAGGACTGCCGAGGTATTTTCAGACGTGAAGACGCGATAGCCTCCTCCCTCGGGGTCGCACACCAGGCCGGGGTGCGCACCAGCTGCAGCAGCTGCGCGCGAGGCTGTGAGCCCAGAGCACAGCTGTCAACCAGGTCCCCAGTCCTGCAGAGAAGGACGCCCGGGCCACTGACTTGCCGCCCTGTCTCTCCACCCGGGAGGCGGCCGCCGGGTCGAGCCCACAGGTGACGTTTCTGGGACCGGAGCTTCGCGGGTCAGGGGCGCGGGGAGAGGATCGAGCGGTGCTGGGGGATCGTCCCGCGCCGGAGGCACCCGCGCTCCTCCCGGCGGAGGGGGCGGGGGGGGGGGGTTGGCTCGCCTGCAGGTGACGCGTCTGTGAGCATCCTGTCGCCTGCCCGGGAAGGTACCGAGTTTGCGTCGGTGGATGCACCCGTGGATGACGGGGAGGGGGAGGGCGGGGGGGGGGGGAGCGGATGGTGGCCGGTTTCATCCTCAGGAAACCAGTGGAAAACCTGGTGGGCACTGAAAGACTTTGGGGACCACAGTCAGGGCTCTGCAGCCCCGGGGTTTCTCGGATCTGCTGCATTTCACGGCTTTTCAGGAGTGAAGACAGAGTAGCCAAGAGCGAAGGCTCGCGTTTCCTGAATCAGGGTTTCAAATCAGTTCCATGGGAGACCCACCTCTGCCTGCATGGTGCCTTGCAGCCTGCATTTCCAGAAGCCCCTCCCCACTGGGTTCACTTTCTGTTACTCACTGGTGCCCTCAGGAATTGAGCAGCTGTTGGGGACAGCAGAGGGTAGGAGGGCGGCATCCAGCACGGGCTTTTGCACATTGGCCTGGGGCTTCTTCATCTTCGAGAACTTCTAAGTGTCCTTCCATAAGGAATGAGAGAAATGCACTTTCCTGTACTTCTTAAGATGTCTTGGCCCTCAAAGTGTCTGCATATTGTTATTTGGACTGGATTCTTCTTATTAAGATTCTCCTGAAGCTATAGCCAAAGAATCTAAGAAATTGGCTTAGGGGTGTGGGCTCAGAGGGGGGTGTGCATGCCTGGCCTGTGTAAGACCCTGGCCACAGCAACATACCAATTGCAAAGAGACAAATCCACAGAAATATGTCACTGTTTCCATCTGAGGCATGCACTGAAATTCCTCAGTGCAAACTTGAAGGTGGGTGTTTTCAGTGAAAATTGCATTTCTTATTGAATAACCTGTTAGCAAAACTTGGTGAGTAGAGATGTGGGGAGGGAGTCTCCATCTCCAGTGCCCACTATCTCTAGAAATGAGGGGGTTGGGCTGGCAGTGCATTTTTCCTATTTCATTGGGATAGTGAATCTGCTTAATGTGAGCACTGGATTGACCTTTTGCAGAGTCAGTAAGCCCTCAGCTGTCTTGTGGTCATGAAAAGCTCGTTAGGAAACCATACAATTTAACTGTTAGCCTACCACGGGTTGTTAAAGTGCACAACGCAATCCTATTCGAAGAAAAGAGTTTTTCCAGGCTGGGGAATAAGGATTTTGCAGGCCATCTAATGTGTCTGAAATATTTATGCAGATTGGTACAGAGAGAATGAACAGGGAAGGGAAAACCACCAGGCACCTTGAGGAGGAACTAAGAATAGTCCTGCAGGCCTGAGATGCTAGGGAAAACCCATTTCATTTTTAGTATCAGATTTTTTTTCAAATACAGAACTGGGTGTAGGGGAGGGAGAGGACAACTATAATACAGTGGTATCTCCCTTACCTGTTTTGAGAGGTAAGCCTTGAAATTATAGTATAAATAGTAGGCTAAATGTGTACAGTGAAGCAATTCTGCCAGGTGTTCCAAATTTCCCATTTTCTGGGTTCATCCCAAAGAAGGATTTGAAACGTTCCAGCCACAGACCTTTGGATGTCTGTTGAAATGATTGGCTGAGACAGTTTTGGGGGGTTGGGTATTTTTATTTGGTTCTGGTTTGGGGATGACATCCTCTGGTTTTCAGGGCTTGCTCCTGACTCTGTGTTAGGGATCACTCCTGGCAGTGTTTGGGGTACTGTACTGAATGCCAGCAAGTGCCCTGCCAGCTGTTCTATTTCTATCTCTCTGGTCCTCTGCACACACCTTTTCGGAGGCTGGGAGTTTCTGACTGGGGGTTCCAGATGCTCTGGGAAGGACACCCTAGCCTCAATCCACAGGGTACATAAACTGTGAAGTGTTCCTGTGCCCTTCCACACCCCGTCTTCCCCTTGCAATACTCCCTCCTCCAGTCCAACTGGAAGGAGCCGCTGTCAAAGACAGGCTTATGCCGAATCCCCTGTGCACTTATTTTTAACATTCTGAGTCTAAGAAGTAATAAATATCAGTGGGGAGACCAGGAGAAACTAGGGATGGAAAAAGAAGTGGGAAAGACTGTGACTTGGATCAATAGAAAAGAGCTTTTTACAGAAGCTTACTCTGTTATAAATACTGTTTGGGTGCTTCACTTATGAAATTCTCACTGTTAACTATGTAAGTAGACAGTATTGTGTGCATTGTGGGGCAGCCAGAAGAGGGGAAATGAGACCCAGTGAGATAAAGCAGGAGGACCAGGATTAGATGCCATGCTGTCTGACAGATGAGAAAATCACCAAAGGTTCTGTTCTCTTCCATCTTCCCAAAGAGGAGAAACTGAGCTGAAACAGCTAAAAGGACCTCAGAGTAGACACTTAAGGTCTCTTAAATGGATATTGGTCTGCAAAAGCTGCTCTGTTCCTCTTATTTCTCCATCTCTATCTCTGCATCATTCCTCTGATCCCACACCCTCACGTCTAGCTTTCCAGACCTACTGGCATTGTCACGTATCACTTTTCACCTGAGATGCCACTCTTTCACCTAATGCCTGGGTTTCTTCTCTCTATGCTACATTGACACAATTGAGTATATTGTGGAGGAAAAAAAACCCAAAAGCCCAAACTTGTGTAGCCCCAAGGTTTGTAGGACTTGGTGATACCAAACAGCTGGATCATTCTGATTGAGAATGCAGCAACAATAAGCAAGCATATGAAATACTAGCTTTGACAGCCAACTTAAGCTTTAGTAGCTACAAGGAATACCCTTGTTTTCACTGTAGATTTATGGTTGTCAAACCAAAATGTCTCTTCTTTTGTGGGCATCTTATCAATTTGAAAGAAGTATAAATTATCTGAGTTTCTTTTGTGAAATCCATGCCTCTATCTTGACACTCACTGGAAAATATAATGTTATCATAAAACTTGCAGCAGAAATAAATACTAAATGTTTCACAAATTCCTTTTGAGATTGTACCATTAAATGAAAATATTTTTTCTTTGACTTTTTACAAATTAGCCTTGTAATCAGCACCTGTCAATGGAACATTGTTAATATTTAACTATTGCTATTATATACCTCACTCCAAATTTTCAGTACCGTTTTACTTTGAGTCAGTCTACAAAAAAATCTCAATACAGTTGTACTTTACATAGGTGACAGTGTTTAGTATTTGAAAAGCTAATAAAAAAAAATACACAGACACACACACACACATGCACATCAGCACACACCAGCAGCCTTTTCCTGTCCTTCCCTATTCTGTCAATCATGAAGAAACTTCCACACAGGTAGCATGAACACATTCCAGATTCAGTGCAACACATTGACCTTTCTTTGATCCTTTTTGTTCATCCACACAGGAAAGTCCCATATTTGGAAACCAATAAAAGGCTCCCAACTTGGTAAAGTCTGCTACTTTGCTTTCAGAATGCTTAATTTCTAGTAAATTTTTAGACAAAGCACAAAGCAATCATTATATAGAATAAAATCAATAACAAAAAAAATTTTGTTTTGGGACCACACCCAGAGAAGGTCGGGGCTTACTCCTGGTTCTGTGCTCAAAGATCATTCTTAACAGTGTTAAGAATTGAAACCAGGTCAGTCACATACAAGGCAAGTGCCTTAATCCCTGTACCATCTCTCTAGCAAAAACTAAATAAAATTTTTTACCAAAATGAATTATTATCTTTTATAAGACTATCTAAATGATGCCAACTGATTTTTAGCATCAACTCTTTTCCCAATAAAAGCTTATACATCCACTAGTCAAAATGCCAAGTAAGGAAGACTTTTTTCTATTTAAATCTTTACCAGAAAGAAACAGAAATGTTTCAGAAAGTTTCCTCTTTAATCCTATTTCCTGTTTAGGATTATTCCTCATCCAATTCTATAAATGTAGGTTAGAAGGATATTAAATTATCACCAACATAAATAGTCTTAAATAAATTTCTATTGAAGACATATTTCTTGAATTAGTCTTCCAAGGCTAACAAGTAATATAAGAAGAATGTGACCCCACACTTGTAATCTTAAGTTTTTTAGTACCCACATTAAAAGGCAAAAGGAGACCAAGTAAAGGGATATACACGATAGCCTTTCAGCATCTGTATTGCAAACCATGATGTCTAAAATTAGAGAGAGGGAGAGAAAGAAAGAGAGAGAACAGAGGTGCCTGTTATAGAGACTGGGGGGTGGAAGGGAGGGAAAATGGGGACACTGGTGCAGGAAAACTACATTGGTGGAGGGATGGATGTTTGAACATTGTATGACTGAAACCCAATCGTGAACAGTTGTGTAATGTATCTCACAGCATTACATAAATTGGTCAAGAAAATTTTTTAGAAGAATGTTATCTATTGGTTTTCCTTGAAGGAGGAAGTTGAATAGCTGTTGGTATGGGGTGTGGGCAAAATCAAAAAATTTACCTGATTCAATGAAAATTTAAAAATTTTTAAAAAGGAGACTAAGTTATATACTCAATGGTACAGCAAATGCCTTGCATGTGTGAGATCCCAGGTTTGATCCCTAGCATCAACATTGATGCATCCCCAGCAGTGACACAGTAATAAGAAAAGCAAAGAGGAACAGCTGAAACTAATTTTAATAATTTTTTATGAAAATTTTATATTAAAACTATACACGCACAATTGTACAGGAGCCCTGATTATTCCTTTTCCTAATTCTGGTCAATAGCACCTTCTCTTCTGAAGGTATCCCTGCCTACACACAACCAACCTCAGAAGAACAAAGATCCTCTAACCTCACTTTCAAAATTCCACTTCCCCTCACCCTAATTTTGACACAAATTGTGGAAAGAAATTTTTTGTTTTCCTAGTCTCCTTAAGCTTATATCTTCCCCAAACACTCCATAACAACAGCTATCCAGCTTAGTCCTTCAAGGAAAACCAATATATAAC